ACGGAGAAGAGGGAGAGAGGAGGGAAAAAGAGGGAGAGGGAGAGGGTGAGGGGGTAGGGAGACGGAGAAAGAGGGAGAGAGGGAGAAAGAGGGAGAGGATGAGAGAGAGGGAGAGAGTAAGAAAGGAGGGGGAAAGGCAGAGGAAGAGGAGGAAGGAAGAAGGAGAATGCGAGAGAGAGACAGAGAAAAAGAAAGAATAAAAGAAAGCAAAATAAAAAGAAAGAGGGCCAGAGAAAGAAAACATTGACAACAGATCAAAACCATTAATAACACAATCTACGAACAAACCCGTGCACCGTGACAAGGCTTCGAAACAGGCCTTCGTTTCAGCACACTTCGGCATCGCAGAACACACACCAGAGGAACGTATTCGTCTCACCTTCATTGGCAGCGCTGCACCTAAACCAGCCTTCGTCGTTCGATGTGACGTTCTCCAGAAGCAGCGACGTGTTGGACAGCATGCGATAACCTCTCACGTTCTTCACGTTCACGAATTCTCCAACTGCGGGCGAGAACGTGAGTCAAAATTCTGAATATAGAGAGAAGTGAAGTAGTTTTTCTCCTTTTCTATTCTGGTTGAGGAATCAAAGACCCCGTTGTCATAAAAAAAATCTATTCACTCTTTTTATGAATTAAGGAAATCGGAATCCAAGAATCGGATGGAAAAAAATATGTTGATGTGTCTCTTTTTATCAATTAATGAAATCAAAATCCAAGAATCTGATAATGATAAAAATGATAATGTTAATGCATGGAAACGAAGCATGGAAATCTACACTCGGAAGAGCGTGTCTTCCTGGTCCTTGAGGTCTTCTGTCCCTTCGTGTCCCCTTGTGTTCGTGTGTCCCCTTCGTGTCCCCCCCCTTCACGTCCCTTCACGTCCCCCGCACCGGCCCAGAGAGAGGGCGCGGGTCTGAGCCTCCCTACCGCAGGAGCGAGTCACCTACTGGTCTCTGTCTTGCCGAAGTAGTCCTGCACCTGCCCCTTGATGATGTAGCGGGACCACGTGACGTTATGTTCCACGGTGGAATACACGTCGCAGGTGAGCAGGGCGGGGCGAGAGGGCGGCAGAGACACCTCCTCGGCGGTTGTGATCTGTGGGGGTGGTTCTGTGGGCAACAGGGAGACAACGAGGCTACAACAAGGAGGAAACGAGGGAGGCTACAACAGGAGGGAAGTCTACAAGAAGGAGGAGGAATAAAGGGGAAAGGGGTTGTTTAGGAATCGCCGGGTTTTCCGGGTCGTACCAAAGACCGGTTTGTGTTTGGGATTCTACAAAGATTCATGTTACTGTGACTCTATGTCGTTATTTTGATCTACGGAGAATAGGGATACTGCTATCCTCTTGACATATAAAGAAATCGATAGAATGGGTTAAAACGATACTAAATCAGTCTTTTCTACAATACCAAATCAGGAACTCGAGTTGTACTACTACTATCTACACTCAAGGGATTATTCTACTACGGTGAAGTAACGTAGGTATCAATCCTAGGTCTTGCCAAGTAGAGAGAACCGCATACCTTTCATATCCAGGAAGACAGTGGACGAAGTGCTGCCGGCGCTGTTGGTGGCGATGCAGGTGTAGCGCCCTTCGTCGTCTCGTTGAGGCGACTCCACCACATACTCCACCTCCGCAGATTGTCTGTCGGGAGAGCATGCGTTAGCCACGTAGAAATACGGACTTGGAATCTTAAACTAGTTATGAAAATATGATATGATTAAGCTGTTCCGTTAATCAATCGACTTGGCTCTATGATTATTAATTTCATTGGCGCAAAATTAAATAATTCCGGATACTGTATTCCACGTATTACGATCTCAGGACTCACGGATGCGTGACGGACGGGCCCAGGTCGATCCCGTCCCTCTGCCATGACAGCTGGAAGGGTACGAGAGTGTGCACGTGGCAGATGATGACAGCTGGGCGGCCGAAGTACCCATATACCCGCGAGGCTGACGTCACTTCCGGCGGGACTGGCATCGAGGGGAGAAAAAGAAGTTGCCTTTTAAATACATCGCACAACGGATGAGGAAACTTATTTTTTGGAATAAAAATGTTCATTAGGATGTTTGATTAAATGATTAAATGCATAAATCGGTGTCTCAAACTCGGGGTCAATTTAGCTGGATTTATTACTATTAAATTTTACTGAACAAAACTGATAAGTAAAACTTTTAATACGGTTAACTGAAACAAAAGGAGTAACATTTGACGTTTGAGTAATTCGCACTTTAAATACGGATAAAGCTGGACAAAAAACGCCTGATAACCACTGACGTCACAATATCGTTCTTCGTTCAGTCGAGTGACAAAAAGATAAGAATAAAAACTAACGTGAGAGATAAAGATAATGAAAAGAAGAACAGAAAAAAATGATTACAGGTTGAGAGAAATACAAGATCCCCGAAAACTCGAATTACGAAGAAGAGACGAAGATATAACCTAAGATAACAATAAAGACAATAACATGAAAAAAAATAAAATGCAAAAGCCCCGAAGAACATTCACTCAAAGAACAAAAGAAGATAAAGACGAAACTCCGCGTAGACAGAGATAAACACAATGACACAAATATGGGGGGGTGGGGAATAACACGCGCAAACAAACCCTCATAACAACTCAAGGTCCCTACAAACAGGTGTTCACGTAACCCATGGCCGATCTAAAGGTATTTACGACCACGAATTACGTCAACATATTGCCATGGTGTCCTTTCAACTTACATGGGAGCTGGGCAGTGGTAGCCGTCGGGGATATTCTCTCGAACTGGTAGCCATCTTGGTCTCTTCCAAAGATCTAGAGAGGAATGCGAAATCAGCGTAAAAATTTAGAGTTATATGATATAGGGGTGTATTCTTATAGCATGCGGTACTAAGGATGAACTGTATTCATGTTGACAATGTAAAAAAATGTAAAATGTAAATGTAAAAAAAAGGTATGGATGAGAATGAATGTCTTCACAATACAAGAGATGTATTTGACCGGTTTCGATTATATCTTCGTCGGAAATACAGCCGGGTACTACTGTTTATGTGATATATCTCAGGAATTCATACTGAAATGTTGAGTAGAGATACGAATCCATGTTGCAAGGCTGAAAATAGGTTTGTTAGTCAAATCTATACTGATTTAGAAAATGTCTTAACCCACTGTCATTACGGGGACCAAAATACGGGTAATTAGGGTTGTCTGAGCGGCCACTCTTCTGGATATGCGGCTTGTAGGGCGGGTGTACACGAACACTCATATGGCAAGACTCCATGCCTCCCTTTTGTATTATTTTCTCTCTTTTTTACTATTTTCTCTTCCAATCTTGCTCTCGGATGGTGCATTCTACACTCGTTTATCGATGGTAATAATGCAAAGGCCCCTTTCTAAATGCCTAATGAGCCTAATCATCCTTCAAGAGCTTTATGCACTCGTGGCGAATCATTCCCGCCATCCCGTCCTTCAGCCAAATTCTCATGACGCCAATGTCCCGTCATCCCGGCCCTCTGCCAGATTTTCCCATGACTGCATGTTCACGTCAGCCGGGGCCCTCAAGCCAAATTTTTCTTGACGTGGTGGTCACGTCATTCAGGTCGTAGGGTTAAGAGAAATGTTTATATTTTTGTTTGGATATTGGTTATTTCACACTCTTTTCTATTAAAAGTTGCTTGTTATAGACTTACCGTAGTGCAATTGAAGTCATATTCATATCAGTTCTATCTACGGCATGTTTAGAACACACAGACGAATGAAACGCGTGAAAAATAAATCGGCAGATGGGAAAAGTGAAGAAATAAAGAGGAAAAAAACAAACTGCATTTTGATCGACCAGAAGATGAACAGAAAGTCCTTGAAACATTTAAATACGGTCGTTAACACCCAAACGATAAGATTCCACGTGAAAAAAAATCACCTTCATTGGCCATCAGTCGAAAAAATAACACATGCAAGCAAACAGCAAAAACAAAGCACTAAAAAAAAGAGGAAAACACGAAACACGCAAAGAAAAAATAAATAAATAAATAAATAAATATATAAAAAAAAAAAACGCTCGTAGTCCACCTTGATGTTGAAGGGGACGTCTGGCGCGGGGAAGGCGGTGCCGTTGAAGACCGGCCCAGACCCCGGGAGCCGCGTGAGGGGCATGTCCTCGAGGACCTCGCCATCCAGAGACACCAGCTGCAGCCGGTAGATGTCGCCGAACTCCGTGACGTCATGCGGCCGGACGACGACGTACGAGATACCGCCTGAAGGAGGAGATGCAGGAGTTCGATGTTATTTATGGATAAACTGTTCCAGCTGTTTTAGAATTATATAATGTTTATTGCTAGTTTTTTCGAGAAAAATGACATGTATGGTTATAAAACCAAGTAAAAAATGCATCTGCATTAATAATTCTGACATCTATTTTTAAAACTTCTTTCCTAATATACTTACGTAAATTAGAATGAAGAAGCTATCTTCCATAAGCCAACTTTGACAAGAAAATAAACATTTCACAATACATAATCCAAAAAGACGAGAGAAAAAAAATATCTATAAATACATAAACACACATCTCTAAAAACATCCCAAAACCATCATACCTTCCAATACATAAACATACCCGTTCCAAAACCCACAAACAAACGAAAAACCTTCCCTAACATCAAAATCTCGGATCTCCTTCCAAGTCCCACTCGACCTCACCTTTCACCGGCCTGTGATAAGTCTCCTTGAAGTTGGTGGTGGGTTTGAGGGAGAAGCCGTGCTCGAAATTGAGGGAGGAGAGGCCCGTCGCCCTCACCGTGTACTCGCTCTCGCTGCCGACGGAGATGTTGTAGCGACCTGCAGGGGGTGAAAGGTCTTAGTGCTGGGGGGTCTTTGTAGGGGGAGAAGGGGGTGGGGGAGGGGGGGGAGTCTGGGGAGAGGTGTGTGTTGTGAGCGGGTGGGGGGGGGGGAGGAATTTGGATTTTGGATTTTTTTTTTCTTCTTTCTGTTATTGTTATTGTCTCTCTCTCTCTCTCTCTCTCTCTCTCTCTCTCTCTCTCTCTCTCTCTCTCTCTCTCTCTCTCTCTTCTCTTCTCTCTCTCTCTCTCTCTCATACATAACACACAAATATATCTTATATACGATATATACACACACGCACACACACACACACACACACACACACACACACACACACACACACACACACACACACACACACACACACACACACACACACACACACACACAACACACAATCATCCAAACTGCCAAAATTTCCTCACCATAACTAAATCACGACAACCCCCATCCTACCCTCCACCCAACCCCTCCACCCCCTCCCCTCCCTCCTCCCCTCCAACCCTCCTCCCTCCTCCCTCCACCCCCCCCCACCCCCTCCCACCGACGCTCACCAGGCTCAGGCTCCTTGACGCCGAGGACCTTGACGTTCTCGAGGGTGAGCAGCTCCTCGACGCCCTCCTTCCGGGTCACGTCCTCTCCGCGCGGTCCGAAGATCTGGAAGGGTCAGAAGAGGGTCAGGAAGGGTCAAGGGCGAGCTAGGGAAGGTCAAGGAAGGGTCAAGGGCGAGCTAGGAAAGGTCAGGGAAGGGTCAAGGCGAGCTAGGGGAAGGTCAGAAAAGGTTCAGGGAAGGGTCAAGGCGAGGTAGGGAAAGGTCAGAAAATGGTCAGGGAAGGTCAAGGGCGAGCTAGGGGAAGGTCAGGGAAGGGTTAGGAAAGGGTCAAAGGGTACGGAAGGGGTCAAGGGTCTGGGAAGGGTCAAGGGCGAGCTAGGGAAAGGTCAGGGAAGGGTCAGAGCGGGAGGGAAGGTCAGAAAAGGGTCAGGGAAGGGTCAAAAGGCGAGCTTGAGAAAAGGTCAGGGAAGGGTTGGGAAAGGGTCAAGGGTAGGAAAGGTGTCAAGGTTCTGGCAAAGAACAGGAGAGGGTCAAGAACAGGCTTCAGAAAGGTCAGAGAAGAGTTAAGACTCAGGAAGGGTTAAGAAAAAAGGTCAGGGAAGGTCAAGGTTAGAGGCGGGAGAGAGAGAGGAGAGAGAAGAGAGAGAGAGACAGAGAGGAGAAGGACACACAACAGAAACAGAGACAAACAGAAAGACAGGAAAGAAAGAGATGAAAAAAATGTGCTTATACATGCAAAATGTATTAACCGAAATTACACCGAAAATACATGTATAATTCGTATCCGTGCGAGTATGTGCGAGCTTGTGTTCACGTGTGTGAGTGAGCGCGCGCGTGTGCGTATGTACATATGTCTTGGAGTGTACACATGTGCATGTGTTCGTATTAGTTATTCCCTTTTTTCTAGATAAAGAAATCCTCACCAGTCTAACCACATTTAACTACACCCTGTGAAGACGTGATTACACTGAATACCACGCGAAGGATGTTACACCACGATTCTACACCAAAAAAAAGGAAAAAAAATCACACACCAATCAACCAGTCTCATATCATCAGCGAATTTTTTTCCTATTGCATGCTGGGATTCCCACGTTTCACTCACGGCCCCAGTGATCACTAGCAATTGCACTTGTATCGATTAGCTTACTCAAGGTCTCCTAGTTAGCAGTTGCCTCAGCAAGCAAACGCATTATCAGGGCATATGCAAAATAGCACTGGGGATTGCGTGGACTCTGCCAAAAGAACTAAGAACTTCATGAGTATTACTGGGGGTTGCGTGGACTCAAGGACTAAGAACTTCATGAGTATTATGCAAACACCAGCACAAGGTCGTTATATTTTCCCCTCATGTCTGAGCAACGCAGTGGATACGCAGAATGAGAGAAAAGAGAACAGGAAAAAATAAATAAATAAACAAAGGAGTATGTATGTGTTTGTGTGTGTGTTTGAGAGAGAGGCAGGCAGACTGACAGACAGAGACAGACAAACAGATAGTCAGAGACAGACAGATAGACAGACAGACAGACAGGGAGACAAGTATTACTGGGGGTTGGGGTTGGACTCTGAGAACTAAGAACTTCATGAGTATTACTGGGGTTGCGTGGACTCAAGAAACTAAGAACTTCATGAGTATTACTGGGGTTGCGTGGACTCAAGAACTAAGAACTTCATGAGTATTATTGGGGGTTGCGTGGACTCAAGAACTAAGAACTTCACGAGTATTACTGGGGATTGCGTGGACTCTCAAGAACTAAGAACTTCTGAGTATTATTGGGTTGCGTGACTCAAGGAACTAAGAACTTCATGAGTATTATAATCTGGGATTGCGTGGACTCAAGAACTAAGAACCTCATGAGTATTATAGGGTTGGGTGGACTCAAGGACTAAGAACTTCATGAGTATTACTGGGGGTTGCGTGGACTCAAGGACTAAGAACTTCATGAGTATTACTGGGGGTTGGGTGACTCTGCCAAAGAACTAAGAACTTCATGAGTATTACTGGGGGTTGCGTGGACTCAAGGACTAAGAACTTCTGATATTACTGGGGGTTGCGTGGACTCAAGAACTAAGAACTTCATGAGTATTACTGGGGGTTGGGTGACTCAAAGAACTAAGGACTTCATGAGTATTACTGGGGTTGCGTGGACTCAAGAACTAAGAACTTCATGAGTATTACTGGGGATTGCGTGGACTCTCAAAACTAAAGAACTTCGTGAGTATTATTGGGTTGCGTGACTCAAGAACTAAGAACTTTCATTGAGTATTATAATCTGGGGTTGCGTGGACTCAAGAACTAAGAACCTCATGAGTATTATAGGGTTGGAGTGGACCAAGGACTAAGAACTTCATGAGTATTACTGGGGAGTTGCGTGGACTCCAGGGACTAGAAACTTCATGAGTATTACTGGGGTTGGGTGGACTCTGCCAAAAGAAACTAAGACTCACGAGTATTATGGGGTTGCGTGGAACTCAAGACTAAGAACTTCATGAGTATTACTGGGGGTTGCGTGGACTCAAGGACTAAGAACTTCATGAGTATTACTGGGGGTTGGGTGGACTCAAGGACTAAGAACTTCATGAGTATTATGCAAACACCAGCACAAGGTCGTTATATTTTCCCCTCATATCTGAGCAAACGCAGTGGAATACGCAGAATGAGAGAAAAGAGAACAGGAAAGAATAAAATAAATAAACAAAGAAATATTTGTGTTGTGTTTGGTGTGTGTGTTTGAGAGAGAGGCAGGCAGATTGGCAGAGAGTGACAGGAAGACTGACAGACAGAGACAGAAAACAGATAGTCAGAGACAGACAGATAGACACACAGACAGACAGGGAAGGGAGACAAACTGACATCCAAAACAAAAGCCGAATGATAAAATAAAGTGAAAAATCTTTCTCTTGAACAGTTGCACAAAACAACCACTTTCCCCTCACCCTGTCGCCGAAAAGATTCCCACCACAACCATGAAACCACCACCGAAAACGGCCCAACCAAAATAGCAGCACAGCCAAAAAAAAATAGAAAATAAATAAATTAATAATAAAATAATTAAACCAAAAGAAACATCTAACCACACCAAAAGGGCCCTAATCACAGCAAAGAATAAATAAATAAACAAATAAATATATAATAAAATTAAAAATAGAATAAAAAAAAAAAGTCCCCGCCACAACCAAGTATTACAGCCAGAAGTAGACCACACCAAACCAACAAACCGCCACCCCCCCCCCCAAAAAAAAAAAAAAAAAAAAAAAAAAAAAAAGAGAAAAAACACACATTATGTCCTTCCCGGCGACGGTGACCTGCTTGAGAGCCTCTCCATCAAAAAAGACCCCACCACCAAATTAACCCAACCAAAAATTACCAAAAAGACCAACAACCACCAAAAATGTTGCCTCGAAACAACAAAAAAACACCATGAAAAGACACTCTGAGCGACTGATCACCAAAAATAACCCACAACCAAAAAACAACCCCAAAAAATAACTGCCTTATTCTCAAGCTTCCTCCCTGTGACGGGAGGCATAAACTGCCTTGAGCGTCTAATCCACAATAAAAAAAATCAACAACCACCACTGGAAAAGACCACCTCAACCACGAACAGCCAAAGAGATCCCACTTCAACCTCAAAGAAAAAATACCTCCAAAAATGCAGCCCTACCCCCACAACCAAAGAACCAACTCCGAAATACTCCGACCAACACCAAGCACCAACACCAGACTTCCCCCAACCAAGAACCACCGATAAGACCCCGTCAAAAAAAAAAAAAAAAAAAAAAAAAAAAATGCAGTACCAACGTCAACAGACGCCCACCCAAAACCCACCCCACAAACGCCCACCCCACAAACGCCCCAACCCCACAAACGCCCACCCCAACAACAAACGCCCACCCACAAACGCCCACCCCAAACGCCAAAACCCCACAAACGCCCACCCCACAAACGCCCCACCCCCAACGCCAACCAAGCCAACCCCCACTGCCCACAACCGCCCACCCCAAACGCTCAAATCAAGACGCACCCCACAAACCCACCCCCCACGCCCACCCCCAAACAACACGCACCCCACCCCACCCGACCCCGGCCCACAAACACCACCCCCAAACACCCACCCACAAACGCACCACCCCACAAACACCACCCCACAAGCACCACCCACAACACCACCCACCAAACACCCACCCCACAAACACCCACCCAACAAACACCCACCCCACAAACACCCACCCCACACACCCACGCCCACAAACACCCACCCCACAAAACCACCCCACAAACACCCCCACACCCACACAAACGACCCACCACCACAAACACCCCCTCCCAAACCCACCCCACAACTCCCACAAACCCACCCACAAACGCCCCACACCCCACAAACGCCCACCCCACAAACGCCCCCCACAAACGCCCACCCCACAAACGCCCACCCCACAAAACGCCCACCCCACAAAACACCCACCCCACAAACGCCCACCCCACAAACGCCCACCCCAACAAACGCCCACACCACACAAACACCCCATCCACAAACGCCCACCCCACAAACGCCCACCCACAAACGCCCACCCCACAAACGCCCACACCACAAACGCCCACACACAAACGCCACAAACGCCCACCACAAACACACACCACAAACACCCACCCCACAAACACCCACCCCACAAACACCCACCCCACAAACACCCACCCCACACCAACAAACACCCACCCCACAAACGCCACCCCACAAACACCCACCCCACAAACACCACCCACCACAAACACCCACCCACAAACACCCACCCCACAACACCCACCCCACAAACCCACCCCACAAACACCCACCCCACAAAACACCCACCCACAAACACCCACCCCCCAAAACCCCACCCAACAAAACCACCCCACCCCACAAACACCCACCCACAAACACCCACCCACAACCAACACCACACAAACACCCACCCACAAACACACCCACAACCCCCCCACAAACCCACCCACAACACCCACACCCACCCACCCCAACACCCAACCCACAAAACACCCAAACACACAAACACCCACCCCACAAAACCCACCCCACACACACACACAAAACAAACACCCACAAACACACACCCCACAAACACCCACCCCACAAACACACCCACAACACCCACCCCACAACACCCACCCAACAACAAAAACACCACCCCACAAACACCCACCCCACAAACACCCACCCCACAAACCACCCCACCACCCCACAAACACCCACCCACAAACACCCAACCCAAACCCACCACAAACACCCACCCACAAACGCCCACCACACCACAACCCACCCCCACAACCACCCCACAAACACCCACCCCACAACGCCCACCCCACAACACCCCACCCACAACACCCCACAAAACGCCCACCCCACAAACACCACCCACAAACACCCACCCACAACACCCACCCACAACACCACCCCACAAAACACCCCACCCAAACCCCACCCACAAAAACACCCCACCCCACAAACACCCACCCCCAAACGCCCACCCCCAACACCACCCCCAAACGCCACCCAACACACCCCCCAAACACAACCCCAACAACCACCCACCCCAAACACCCACCCCCCAAACCACCCACCCCCAAACACCACCCCAAACCACCCCCCCAAACACCCACCCCACAAAACACCCACCCCACAAACACCCACCCACACCACCCACCCAAACACCACCCCACAAATACCCACCACCAACGCCCACAACCAACACCCACCACAAACACCCACACAAACACCCACCACAACACCCACCCAAACACCCACCCCACAAACAAACACCCCCCACAACACCCACCCCACAAACCCACCCCACAACCCTCCCAAACACCCCACCCCAAACGCCCACCCCACAATCTTACCTCGATCTTGGGCTTCTTCCCGGCCACAGAAATCGTGAACTGCTTGAGGGTCTGATCCACAAGCAGCGGCAGGTCTCCTCTCGGGTCCAAGGTCTCACGGTCGAGGGAGAGCAGGTTGACCTTGCGAGATTCGAGGGACAGCTCCACGAAGGTCAGCACCTGGTGGGGGAAGGGGGGGGGTTATAAGGGTTGTTCGAGCGAATGGGTTATTGCTGTTGTTGGTTTAGTAGTAGTAGTGGTCGTGGTGGTGGTGGTAGTAGCAGTACAAGGAGAAGTAGTAGTAGTTGTAGTAGAGGAAGTAGCAGTAGCTGAACTAGAAGTGGTAATAGTAGTAATAGTAGTAGTGGTAGTACTAGCATTAGTAGTAGTAGTAGTAGAAGAGTAGGTAGTAGGAGTAGTAGTAAATGAGTAGTAGTGGTAGTAGTTGCAGTAAGTAGTAGTAGAAGTAGTAAGTAGTAGTAATAAGTAGCAGTAGAGTAGTTAGTAGTAGTAGTAGAAGTAGTAGTAGCTGTGGTAGTAGTAGAAGTAGCAGTAATAGAAGTAGAAGTAGTAGTAGTACTAGTAAATAGTAGTAGCAATATAAATAGTAGTAATAGTTGTTGTAGAAGCAGTAGTAGTAGTAGTAGAAGTAGTAGTAGTAGAAGAAGTAGTAGTCGTAGTAGTAGAAGTAGTAGTAGTAGCAACAGCAGGAGCGGTAGCAGCAGCAGTAGTAGTAGTAACAGTAAATGTATTAACATCAGAACTAGCAGCACCAGCAATACTAGCAGTATTAATATCAATATCATCATTATCCTTATTATTATTATTATTGTCATAGTTACGTTTGTTACTATCATTATCATTACTATTATTGCTATTGCTGATTTTCGTTGCTATTACCACTATTATTATCATTATCACTATCAGTTTTACTATTGCTATTATGATCATCATTATCATCATCAACATTATTATTATCATCATCATCATTATCATTATCATTGCAGTTATCATTGTTGTTATCTTTAATTACTGTCATTATCACCATTACTATTATCATTATTATGGTTATCATTTCTTTATGTAAAAATAAAGCATTAAGTGCAATCGTACTGCTAAATAGACTATAAATATATTCTACATATCAGATATCAATTATACACTTAATGAACCTGAATCTTCCACTACTAATTAGATCAGGCAAATAGCTAGAAAATATTGCAAATATCTACTGGACTGGAAGTGAATCA